CATATGCAGATGGGTCCAAAGTTTGTATCGACTATTTCTTGTTTCCATTCATGCTGCCGGACTGAAGGAGAGAGGGGAAAAGATCCTGTGGAGGTCCCTTTGTAGGAAATCATATAGAGAAAAAAATCCAAATAAGTGTCACATTACATATTTTAAGTTTAATGATGCTTTTTATAAAACATTCTGTATGCATTGATATTGTGCAAAGTATTTTATTCTAATTCGTTTCGGATTTGTTGGTTAGGATTGGCCTTTTTGTTGGATTCTTTACATTATAGCTTGTTTTTTTCCTCTCAACTACAGTGACTCGAGTTGGGTGTCGATCCTGCCCCTGACAAAACGTGGAGCATGTTCGGCAATTTTGGATTATATTATACTTGGATTATAATCTGTTTACGGGTTATAATTCACAAACAGATTATAATCTATGTTGATTATAATCCAAAGTGTTCGATAAAATTGGTGAACTATAAGTCATTTTCAATTGTAAAGTGTTTGGTAAATGGATTGATTATACTCCATTATTGTTGTTGTCAAAATGACCAAATTAGACATACCTCCAAATGATGGAGGGTATATATCAGACTTGAGATTTTGTGAAATGATGAGGGTATACTTATCTTTTACCCGACCAAAGTGATATGATGATGATATATCTATCTTTTACCCGACCAAAACTTATAATCCAACAAAAAATAATGAGCATGTTTGGTAACTTTGGATTATAATCCACAAATGACTTATAAGTCAAGTGGATATAACCCAAAGTGTTTGGTAAATTTAGCGGATTCTAATCCATTTTCAATAGTAGAGTATTTGTCAAATCATTTGCTTGTAATCCATCCTTGTGGTTAAAATGACAAAAAAGGAGTCGGAGGAAGAGGGCTTTTGAATTTTCTTAAAATGTTAAGGGAGTGTTGTGCCATAGAAATAACCAAGTGTTGGTCACCTTCAACTGGCTGACACGTGTCTCAAGAAAACCACATACCGACTTGACCCGGATACATTCAACTGGTCGAGATGAAGGACATCCCTTCCCATCCCCCTCAAAGGTTGAGATGAAAGGTGTCCCTTCTCATCTCCCTCGAGGGTCAGGACGAAAGGCGTCTTTTTATCAACCCTCTCGTAGAGCAGAGATGTAAGATAGTCATTCTCGAACCCCTCGTCAATGGCCAATCGCCATCAACTTAAATGCACGGTCAGAGTCATCATTACATCTTCCCTAAAGGTCTTGATGACTCATCGGATCTTTTCCGCACCGTACACACCTATCACCGTCAAATTAATTACAAGGGTGACTCATTCCATCCATGATCGACACTTGTAAAGTCTTAGCCCAGTAAGGTGACTGCCTGGACTCAGCCAAGATTACATATATACCCTCGTCGACTCAATATAAATAGGCACATTGCCTATTGACCAAAGGTACACAATTTATGCACACTTAGAGAACTATATCAGTTCCTTTCTCCCCTTCAGATCATAACTAACTTGGTCGTCGGGGGAGTCATCGGAAGCCAGCTCCTATCCTCTTGTGTATGTGCAAGACTCTCTTCCTATAGGGGGATTAGGTATCAAAGGAGATCAATGGACCCTAATCTCTTCAAAACCAGCCCCTAAATCCAGCTATTAATCATCTATGCATCAATAGTTTTGTGCCCACCGTGGGTCCTATTTTTCTTCTTTGTACAAGATGACTAGTTTTAATCAACCAGATTGATCATCCATTCCCCCTACGGAAGAGATATATAATGCAGACTACATTACTCAAGCCCAACTGGAGGAATCCGCCCGAAGAATCTCTAGACCTCTTCAATTATAATTCGATTCCTTCACTATGAATTTCTTAGCAGGATTCCTCCCTTGCAACATTCTCCATTGTTCGCTGCTCCTCCCCCTAGAGGTCAATCCAAACAGGGAGTGTAGGAGGAGCACACCGAATATGCCCCTCCTCCACCTCGCCAACTAACTCGTTCTGCTGTACATCCTCGACAATCGCTGCAGCATATGGAGGAAACTGGCAAGAGTCCTAGTCTCGGCCATGAGCATGTCACATGGATGACATCACACTGCGTCAGACATCTCCACACTACTCTAGGCCCCTCCACCACTAATTTAGCATGTGGTTATGACCGAATATTTAACACCATCAGAGACACCCTTGGTGGGAACTCTCCGCTTACTTACTTGATCATGAACTGTGACACCCCTAGATTCACACAAGGTTGTAGTCCAAGGTGAACCCAAAGATGTAAAACCTACCATGCATCCAAAAACACTGTGCATAAATTATACAGGTGTATCTTCTTCCTTGTTTCGGGAGCTTAGCGATCCTCATGGAAGCTTGAGGATAGATGATTCTCATGGTATCTTGAGAATAGAGATATAGATGAAGTCATTGAATGTAGCAACATCTAAGAGTACAGGAAAAACTATAGGAAACACTTTGGACTTCCAGCGGTCGACCGCACATAATGTCATGATCGACCTCGAACGTGCACAGCTCAGGATAAGTCTCTGGACTTTTCACGGTCGACCGTGAAGGGTTTTGCGGTCGCCACGGTCGACCGGCCAAACCCTGTAATATTTTTTTTAGTTTCTGTCGTTCTGTCCGGTCGACTGTATGTGTCTCTGCGGTCGACCGCAAGTCGAACTGGGCCAGTTTTTAGTTTCATGTTCGTTTTAGGTTTTGTGTTTGATATATATTAAAATACGAATTTTCTAGGGTTTTCTAACCATATTGTATTCAGAAACGAGATCATGGAAATTATTCTTTGATCTAGAGAGATTGTGAGAGAGCGATTTGTAATCTATTATTTCTCATAATCTAGGAGAAGATATTTTCCTTCGCCCAACTCAATTCTTTGTGTGTTTTCTATTATCTTCTTCACAATCCACTCTTGATAATTCCGCGATCAAGGGTGCTCGTTTAGTGACTCGTATCAAATTGGTATCAGAGCGATTAGATTCTGTGAAGGGAGGATCCTGTGTATGGTCCTTACTCGATCGCAATACAAGAAACTATGCGAGATCCTTATTTCTTTTGAAGGAATTCAAAGAATAAGGAAGAAGAAGATGATTGAAGGGGATAGTTCAGCGAGACTTGATGCATTAGAGAAACAGATAGAGATAATGGGTTCGACTCTTACACAGCTCGTTAATCTTTTCCAAGGAAAGGACAAAAAGGAGAAATCTTCTTCGAAAGGTAAGAAGAAACTTATAGAGTCCGATGGGGAGGACGATGAATCTGATTCTGATGAGGAGACCGAGATTGTCAAGACTGTTTCGCATCAAGGGGGTAAGAGTTCTTACCAGAATTTAAAAATAGACTTCAAGGTGGAGATTCATGTTTATGATGAGAGTGTCAACATCGAGAGGCTTGATGATTAGATCGAGCAGATGGAGATGTATTTTACCCTCTATGGATATTCATCTAAGGAGAAACTCGTGTTCGCAACCTTGAAGCTTTTGGGGGCATGCATTGACATGATGGAAATCCTATTGCAAGTAGGAAAGAAATGCGGTGTTGTGGAACAAGTTCAAGGAACTACTAAGAAAATAGTTTTACCCGGAAGGGTTCCTCGAGAAGCGTTGGTATAAGTGGTGCGGATTGCGCCAAAGATTCAACCAGACCGTTTAAGAATATACGATGGAATTTTAACAGTAGGTGATGGTCCTCAATATCGCGATAGAGGAATATTCTATTTTTATGAAGTATATGGCGGGTCTGAATGAATATATCTGGAAGGAGATGAACCTATTCACAGTCGAGTCCTTTGCAGAAGCGAGTGTGAAGGTCATTTTCATTAAGGGT